CCGCACTTTTCCCGAACCGAATGTGTGTGTTATTATGCAACAAAGTCACTGTTGATGTTCTATATTTAAACATCTGACGTACTCATCATACATGTGACGTAGGCCTAACCACTTAAAAAATGCTACGCGCTGAAAATAAGTAAGGAAACAAATTAGGAACAATTTAGCTTAATATCAGTTACGGCAGCATTTATTTGTTGATGTCGTGTTAGAATCGAAATAATATATCCAAACAGTGATTTTATCGCTCAATAACATCACTGTTTGTCGTTCGGATGCGCATCATTATATCACTCGGGCTACGCCCTCGTGATGTAATTCCTCGCATCCGAACTTCAAACAGTGGTGTTATTGAGCGATAAAATCACTGTTTGGGATATATTATTTTTCAAATAAAGCCCAAATATAAATCTAATGGTTGTGTGTTATTTCTCCATACAAGCTTCAATTGAGTTTTTGGTGGTTCAGACTCTGTAGTAGTTGTCGCAGTTAACAGCTGGTTAATATAAACATGTCGATATGTTATAACAATATTTAAGAATTAACAAACCCCATATTTTCAATATTTAGTGTAGTGCTTTCAATGCTTTCTTAGAATATCTTTAGCTTAAATTTGAACAAACAATGTTAAACATGTAAACAAATGACGTAGCGTCACGAAAATAAATGCGTCAAACACAATATTGGCACATTGTACTTTATACGGTAAATATTTATTGCGGACGGTTAGCATTATCGGCAAACATAATATTGGTAGTTTGTACTGTAAATTTAATATTAGGGACATTTAGCTTTATAGGTACAATCTGGCAGTGAATTAATGATATAAATTTAATTGGCGGTAATAAAGTTAACATGTTCCTTATATATATTGATATGTATATATTTGAAACAGGGCCCGAACATGATGTAGAAGCTGGTTGTCATTTCATGAAGAATTTGTTCCTTGCAGTACAAGCCGAGGAAAATAGACCAATATTTCCCCATTTCACATGCGCCATCGGTAGGTCACCATCATAACTTTTGATGTTAATATCTTTATTTGATCAAGTTTATCCTGGCATATTTAAAATTTGATTTAACCGCTTTTAATAATATGTATGTTTGTTACTTTGGTTGGTCACATCCGCATTGGCTTTTATAGATAACTTGTTGGTAATTACCAATTTTCCAAAAGTGACCAACTTCCCTACACCACATGATGTCTTTTATGATGATAATATGTTAACTTACAATGTTATATATATGTTAGTAATTACCAATTTTACAAAAGTTACAAACTTCCCTACGCCACATGATGTCTTTTACAATGATAATATGTTTACTTACAATGTTATATGTTATCTTACATATCTTTTTACGTAATCATTTACCATGTTCTTTGTTCTTTTCAGTGTAATACGATCTTTTACATTCTGTTTTTTGTTTATAATCTAGCACAATCTTTAAGTGATCTTTTTAAAAATCTGTTCAGTTTATTAACATTGATGGACAATGTATATATTTTGCTGTTTGATCAGTTTTTTTGCAATTTAATGTGTTCTTATAGAATGACATGTTTCTTGTTATTATTATATTGTTTAAAATCACTTACATATTTAGTTAATAATATTATACATGTAATTTATTATTAATATTCTAATAGTCTAGTGCCTATCCCATTCAATACGATGTTGGCATAACTCATTAGTTTACTCAGAAATCCATATTTATTTAATCCTTTAGAAATGTCAAACAAACGTGTGTTTAGTAGTGGACACAACTTTGATTTTTTTCTGATATTCAGCTCACTTGAGCTGGCTTAATTGTGATAACTAATCATGTATTCACGATAAAAAAAAACCACCACCACTGCCAACAACAACAAAATTACACTTATTGCAACATTGATATGTTAATTTAAATCAACCTTTTTATACATAACTGATTAAATTCACTTCACGCAAAATTGTTTGTTAAAAAAGCCGAATTCAATGCATGATTATTTGAGACAATGACTGAATTAATTAAAGACACGTGATAATTGTTTGTTTTTCACATAATTATTTATCTTCAAAACGTAGACCGACCTTTAAATGTTCATACATTTAATTGCAATTCAATGTAGAAATCAATCAACAACTATAGCACACCTGCATAATTACATTAATAACAATTATCACTAGCATCAAAACTGTCTCAATTTTGTAATGAATTATTTTTAATTGGTACATTTATGTTAAAGTACAATTCTCAGTAAATAACCTTGTAATTTTTGGCGAATAACATTATTTTAACCAAAATAGGACTGTGAGGCCTATTTGACTAGTTTTGGGGCCGATTTGACTAGTTTTGGGGCCGATTTGACTTTTTAAAATTGTTGTGTGGCCGATTTGACTAATTTTGAGGCCGAATTGACTAATTTTGGGGCCGATCTGACTTGGGGCCGATCTGACTTGGGGCCGATTTGACTAGTTTGCGTTAATTTATTCAAGTTTGATTCACGCTTCAAAAGGAACCATGATCTCGATTGTTTTCTTTTACAGATACACCGGGGATGAAACGTGTGTTTGATAACATTATTCAATACACAGTACAATCAAATATAAAGAAACACAAATTACTGTGATCACTTGAAAAGAATAAAGTAATTCAATTAATAAACCAAAGGACACTGGGAACCAAAGGATATTGGAAACCAAAGAACATTGGAAACCAAAGAACATTGGAAACCAAAGGACACTGGGAACCAAAGGACACTGTGTACTGGGAACCAAATGACACCGGGATAGAAAGTACACTGGGAACCAATTTACACTGGGCACAAATGTGCCCTGGGAGCCAAAGTACACTGGGAACCAAAGGACACTGGGAACCAAAGTACACTAGGAAGATTTTCGTCTGCTTAAAGACAGTATAGGTTTATTGCTATTGCTTGATACCCTACAAGAAACTGATTTAGCTATTGAGTGTCTAATATTGGTACCCGACAAGAATCTTATTTAGCTAAATAGGGTGTCTAGTATGATACAAAAGTGTTTACTAAAGAATATTTTGATAGCCCCTTAGAATACATTGTGTTAAAGATTTGTGTTGTTCGAATTTGTTTTGTTTGCATATGTGCAGTGATCATTTAAAGACAATTATGGGAGAAGTGCAATATGTTTTCCAACAGCAGAGGCAATTACAGACTTTCGCTGAGAATCTTTTAATTAAAAAGGATGGTTGCGTGGTAAAGGGAACAAATTATTGTAAAACAATAGGTAACTGTCCTACTTTTTGAGAAACCTACTTCATTTTGTTACTTTTAGTTGGAAAGACAGTTTCTAGGAACTGAAACCAGTCAAACAGTTTGGTATTTTTATAATTAAAGATCTATAATGCTCAAGTTTGATTCTTTAAACTACTGATACATGTTACACAGTATCTTAAGAATATAAAAATTAATATCTTTTGAGTACACACAGAAAATTTATGTTATATTTTCCACTATACAGACTTAAGATAAACACAGAATGGATAGTGAATAATGTCATTAAAAAAACTGACATTTCTTTAAAGGGACTCTACTTAGGTTTTTTTGACATGAAGGAACCGAAAAAAAAATTTTCAGGACTTTTATATTGCTGCATGAAGGTCTTGACCGATAATTCGTGTGCAAAATTTTAGATCATTTGTTCCCTTCCGCTTGCCTGGTATAATCAATGTTATTGCGCAAATTGACCCCAAAATGAAAAGCGTTGCAACGCTTTTTACTCAAATCGGGCGGAAGAACGCATAAAAAGTTGATTATTTATTTAGTGCTGAGTATATTCCCTTATTATCTATTGCATAGTTTCAGGTTTAAGTGCACTAGATGATTGATGTAAGAATTTCCAATTTTATTATTTTGGCTATAAGACCTCAGTGGAGTTCCTTTAAAGAAAGAACCAAATCAACTTGCCCAGTAAAAGTTTGTGCAGCTATAGTTTGTGCATTCTGTTACGCAAATTAAAAATATTCAGTAAAAATGTTCGTAAACTTTAATATATGTCAGCACTAAAAGTATTATACCTTTAGATGAGATTTAAGTAAATTATTTAATATTTAACTATCTAAATATTTATTTCGTTTGCTTTTATATGTTCGCATTTCCTTAAGGACGTTCACGGGAGTTTTAATGTTCTGCCTTATAAATTTATATGTCCACATGAAAGCTCCCGAAAACTTCAGTATGTGCACCTTCATTTGCAATGACAAATAAAGTTTTAAAGCTGCATTTAATAGATAAATATGTAAAAAAAATCCGTCGGCCTAAAAACCAAGCATTCTGCAGTTTCATTAAGCTTTTTAACAGTATCGTTGTAAATCTCATCAAATATTGTTCATAATTAAATTAGGAGTTTAAATGGAAAACCACACGGTAACACTGAAGTTACAAATTAAGTATACAAATTTTAGCATGCAAATGAAGACTATACATGTATATAATCAGCTCGTGTATACGCGCTACGTCACAGTGTTATAGTTGCTATCCGGAACTTGTGCAAACAACTTTAGCCGTTTCAGCTTCACGGTGCATTAGGCCAGGCGTTCCGAATACATTAAAGAAATTTTGAATTTTAAAACATCCCAGACTAAAAAAAAGCATGTGCCCTAATCGAGGAAACAATGGGCGAAACTAAATAAGATGGAATGTTGAAGAGGGATCAGAGGTTATGAGGCCTGCATATCACAGATAACCCGAGATAATCTGCCAAAAGACAAATTTAAAAAGCAGGTCCATGTCCTAAGGGTGACTAAACAGTATTCTAGTGAGGAATACCGGGACCATCCAACTTGAAAATAGCCGAATAGAAACAACTAATAGAACACCACAAGCATGCAACAATAATGTGGTGCTAAACGATCCTTAAGGGTCGGAAATATAACACCATTGATTGAATGTACAGGGCGAATTTTTACGGCCTCCACACGGCACAAACAACGCTGATTTGGCGATAAAATAGAGAGAAAACAACAAAATATAAAATAATGCTTGTACAGTATTTTATTTAGAGTTTTTGTTACATTCCGGTCAGTTTATTGGATATGAGAGAAGTTTCAGTTATTATTTTCGAGAAAACTTTCCCTGATACACGGGGCAACACAAATTTAACGTGCACTTGAAATGGTTTCCATTCTGTGTCATCATTACAATGCAGATAACCACCGTTTGCCGTCTTTTTAGGGTCTACAAATCTGCCGCTTACATTTAAACATTCTGTCCCTGAAAATGAAGTAAGTAATTTGTTGTAATTAAACCGAAATATTGAATTATAAGAACTAAATTACTGCATGGATAAATACCTCTTTAAGATTGGTATGCCAACAAACCCGACACAAATATTTTCAATTATTTCTGCAGATGTATTTATAACTGATTAAATGGGCAAATGTATGTCTAAAGTATATATAAGCTGCAATGAGTCTTCTGTTCTTGGTCACACAAACGCTTAAATGATAATAGCGCCGATTGTTCGCCTGTTCGCGTGCGACCTCGACTCCATGCGACTCAAAATGATATAAGAATAACAAAAAAAAATGTTTAGACCCTAGCAAGAAGTGTATTGCTGTTATGCGTCCACATGTAGCATACATTAAAACGTGGTGGTAACCTCTTTTTCTTGGTTACTTGAAATTATGTTATGAGCTCTAGCCGCAATACGTTGCTATGATAATATGTTGTATATGAAAATGAGTAATTGAAACGCGTATTACTTACTTTTGCAGACGAATTTTGTGTCAACCGAGCACACCCTTATTTTACTAGGATTAAGTTCGGTGATTTTATTCAGGTTCGGGCATACACATCTACCACCATCTCCACAAGGCAGAAGGTAAAATAAAAATAAGATTTTTTAATACCAACATTTACCTTACATTTCCGTCACTTTACCGTCAAACGTTTCTAAAATTGTCCAATATCGTAGCAAATCGGTTATTTCCGGAACGTGTTTTTTTCCTCGAAATATTGGGCATTCAATTATTTGCTCACTCATCCTTAACGCTTTTTACTAAATTCGGGTTATGATAAATGGTTAAAAATTATTGAATAAAGAAGATTGTGAAAAATAACCTTCCGAAAATGACCGATGTATTACGATATTGGCTGATGTTAGAAACTTTTGGCGGGAAAGCATTACAGTAATACTTCTTTAAATCAATACAATTCCTACATTTCTGATATCCTAGTGTTCTCGAAAAATGAAACATATGTATACAGTATACGTAAATCAACTACTATTAGAAACATAATTTCATGTAAGACCTAAAACAAAATATGCTAAAAGAACATTTAGAAATAATGCAAGTATGAAAAGATTTGCATTTATGTATCAAAAATCTTCGTCTCTATTTGTTTTAAGAGAAATATGAAAAAAACATTTTCTTCATAAAGAATTTTAATAAATCGGATGAATTCATATGTCTGTCGATTTAAATGTTTGTAGTTTTTATTTTTATATGTGTGTACATATTTGTGGATTTCTTCATTTTGCTAAATTGAAGGCCATATTGTAAATAAGATATGTTACCTTATTATTATTATTTTCATTATTATTATTATTATTATTATTATTATTATTATTATTATTATTAAATGATCATTTAGAATACGATTTTCAACGAAAAATCAAAAATATTTCTGATAGGGTTTACGGATAGTTTGTTTGACAGGGTATAAAATGTTATAAGAAGAGATCCTATTCTTTGCCAATTTAATTTATAGGGTCAATATATTACAAATTTACTAGAATTCAATCACTCGTTACTGTACATGTATGTTTGTTATTGATCAACATAGAAATACTGAGCAATTACTCCTAGTTGCTACAATCTCGAAATAAAGGTTACATCATACAACCAGCATTCATACAACCATCTTAAGACACGCTAGCTTGAGAAATCTTGAGAAAAAAAGCCATAATGAATCGAATGCCAACTTACTTGAAAGAACGATTTGCCCACGCATTGATCTGCGTTTGCTGTCACGGTTGGGATAATCGTCTGAAATTTCAACATACCATTCGTCAAATTGTAAACGTACAATCAAATATGACGAAATTATTTTTTGTAAAGTTGAATTAATAATTAAAAAAACCCAACAAGAACAACAAAACATTCAAATATACTCCGAAACACGAGACTATTTCAAATTAAAAGAAGGAGCATCGAAACACGAGGCTGTCTGATTTAACGAGGGGGGGGGGGGGGGGGCGTAGTTCTCGAGTATAAATCAGATTGCCAAGACTTTTAGTGTTGTGATGTCTTTTCTCTCTTTTGAATCATAGACAAAGATAAAAGCATGTTCCCTGTTGTCAAAATATTAAACCCCATAAAAAGTAACCAATGTACGAGCATCTTAATACGACTTTTGTGTTGATATCTCTTTCCCTGTCGTCGCAATATGTAAACCCCTGAAACAATGAGCCAATCAACGAGTATGCTCTAGCCAGACAGTAAAACCTGCGAGTAACTAATACCTGTACTCTAGTTAACGCACAGTGAATTTCAACTATGACACGTTTTCAATAGTGATCAGGATCCATGCTGTTCACTTTCGGTTTCTCTACTTGTAATAGAGTTTGTAAGCGAACAGCATGGATTCAAATCAGACTGCGCGAATGGTCTGGATCCATGCTGGTCGCAAACCCCTTATGTTGGTTTTGTCATGACGCGGCTCAAATTGTGACAGCTGAGAAAGTGAAAGCGATAGAAAAAATATCATATTCAGATGCTCGTTAACTGGTTACCTTTTTTTTTGGGATTTCGTATTGTGACAACAGAGAACGTGTTTTCTGTACGAAATCTGCTGTGGTCATAGTATTATTTTTACAATAGGTTTATCTCTTAGATTTGGTTCGCTAAATTGCTAATCATGGTCATGCAACTACATAGTAAGGTGAAGAAGCAGGCGCTTGTTTTGGTTGAGTCTATTATGTTTTGTTTTGGGGGTTGAGTTGTCATACACAAATTTACAATTTATATGCATTTATTTTTTTTCCAATGATTGTATCTATCTTAAATGCTTAAGGGATTGTTGTTTTATCAATTCATTTGTAAAAAAGATTGTTATATGTCTATTAACGGAATAATTTTAATGAACACGAAATTAGTTCACACCTACATGTGTATTGGTAACGTGATGGTTTCAGCCAATGAAAACACGTCAATATTATTTTACTCGGGCAGAGAAAAAGTGTGCAAAGAGTAAATCGATAATCTTTATGTAGCCAGCAAACTTTGAATTGCAAGTATTTTTTCATATCTTTTCGGCAGAATAAACTGTCCGAGGATTCGTATCGTAAAATGGCTGCCATTTACAGTATCAAGTGATTATACCAAGCACCACGGCGACTTAGCGCGGGAATTTTAATTATAGCTAATATCGGCGCGTATACCTTTTTCATATTATATTGTAATAAATATTTACAAACTGTGTCTTTCGGGAATTTTTTTATCAATATATAACCAATAATGAGGTTAATATGAATAAATAATCATATCTCAAATCTTTGACTTTGATTTACAATGAAATTCTACCTTAAGTGTATTAAAAATGTTTTTAATTTCCTGTAATTTTATTTTGTGATTATGCTTCAAAGCAGTCAATTGACCGTGAATTTTCTTTTCATATTTTGATTTCCTTGAAATCATTTTGCTCATCTGAAAGCATGCAACTTTAATATGGTGATACATTAATTACATTCCATGAAAATTTTTAAAGATATAAAATATCTCATGACATGTTTTTTCATTTAACATTACACCTTTAATTCAGCAAACATAAAGTCTTCACAAAAAGTAGTATGCAATCGTACCTATATTACATACGAATGTATGTAATATTTTTCTTGTTATATTTGACTATGATACAAAAGAGAAAGAACATCAAAACACTCGACAATATGATTAATACACAAGGGTACGCCCCTCGCCTACAGAACAGATAGCCTCGTTCTATTACGTAACTAGTTTACTTGACAATCCACTTATGAATATATAAAAAGTTCCATAACATACCAGCATCAACAGTACAAGTGCACTTAGAACTTGAGCCATTTTTTTGTAATAGATTGTACAAGTCACAACAGTCAGGATATTTATGTTCACAACTTCTAAAATATATACAAACAATATAGATTATTTATATGTAGAAGCTTATACGTATGTGATATAGAATTATGTGAATTACGTAATTATAAAAATATGAATTATGTGATTTATAAATATTTTGTGAATTATATGAATTATGCATTATATGTGAATTACATGCTTATGTGCATTATATAAATTATGCGATAATGTAAATTAGGTACATTATGTTAATTATGCGATTATGTGAATTATGCGATTATGTGAATAATGATTATTGGAATTACGTCAATTATGCATTAAATTAATTATGCGATTATACGATTGAATAAATTAAGCGATTATGTGAACTATGCGATTATATTTAATTATGCGATTATGTGAATTATGCGATTATGGTAATTACGTCAATTATGCGATTACCTTAATTATGCGTTTATGTGAATTATGCGATTATGCGATTAAATATATTAGGCGATTATGCGTTTTTGATATTAAATTAATTATCCGATTATGGGCATTATGCGATTATTGGATTTATAAGTACAGTGATTCATACAAACATATAAACGCGAGTTCACTTTAGGATAACTATAATTGAGAAGTGTCAGTCACTCAACTAAGAGAACGTG